CCTTCATACAGCAGTTCTCAGCAAAAATATTTCAGCAATAAGCATTCACGATGCATTTTCACAGGAAATGCAAATTCTTTAGTTAAGAGTCAACTTTGATTATTTATAACCTCAGAAAATAAAAAATAAAAAAGTCATCCACCTGTGGTTCAGCAAATAAATCAAAATATGTTGTTTCTAACACTTCTTGTCAGGTAAATTAATGAATATTAACACAAAAAGTCTATTAGGGTTGAGAATATTATAGATTAATCATTAATGTAAGAATGCTGAGTAAGCATTGAATAAACAAACAGCAGAGACGTGAAAGAGTTTCACTTTCTACATAAAGTTTGGCRTCTGTTGCCTCTGATCCAGAAAGGCAATGTGTCGGATGTGTAATAAAACTCTCACTGACCTCTCTCCACTCCTTGTTGCCCATCCCTTGTGCGTAGAGAACACAAACTGTGAAGAACGGAGGAAAAACAAAATTATTAGAATCAATCATTAACAAAAAATTTTCACATTTATTCAGGTCGTAGCAGCTGTGGTGGTTTATGGATAATTAACATGCTAACAGAGAWTGAAAAAGTTATTTTATTACAAATTTGGCAGATTATAGGAAAAGCTGAACAGAATCACTTTATAAAAGATAAAAATCATTAAAACAGTACTACAAGTTTTATTCCTGAAGTTCAGAGCTTCAGGAAATTTTCAGATATTTTGAAGTGGGGTTAAACGTTTATTATCTTACTTGTTGTAGATAGCTCTATAAGCAACCTCAGCTTGGATAAATACAGTTTAATTCAGAACCAATGATGAGCAAATGGCTAGTCTGAGCAGGATCCAAAAACATAGTGGACTGGAGATGCTTTAGCATTTCATGCTACTTCTTAAACTGTATTTTTTTGCATTTTATTTGTATTTGGGCTGAAAAATATCATGACATTTCTGCTTGAAGTCCTCCATGCTGCCCCAGTAGTGCTATGGCTAGCTGCTGCTGCTATTAATCTATGTTAATAACTAAAAAGCATAATATAGAGAAGCTTTAAATGTAAAAAAAAAAAAAGGTCAGGACTAAATTAAGCTATATTTCTCCAACCTGCAACAGTTCAAAGATCTCCTGCAGCAGGTAAGATAGTGATAGTTCAGAACTTTGAACGTTGTATTTAAGTTGAGACAAGCATAATTTCAAGCGTTTAAAGGATTTCCAGGTAACAGATTAAAGAATAAACCACACATCCTCAGCTTCCTGTAAATATCTAACAGGTAGGCGACATTCGGGCAGAGAGAAAAGAGGAAAAAAAACATTTTCTCTCTCACTGCTGGCTCAGATTCAACAGAGCTTTTATTTTTAACTCGCTGTTCTTTAGATATTTTTATGTGTTCAACACTTTCTCGTCCCCCCCTCCTTTACCATCTTGCTCTTTCCTTCTTGTCAGCCAGGTTCAGATCAGAAGACTGAAGTCACCGCCGCTCAGCATAATAAGTGCTGCTCAGCACAAATACCGCCTGAACGTTAGCCAAAACGTTACCAAAATTAAACCCTCCCACCTCCAGTCAGCATCACATCCTCGCTCTCATCAACAAGTTGACTCACTTTTTTCTGCTGTAGATGTGCTGACACACCCCTTTTTACTGACTTTATGTTGCACCGTTACAGAAATAACAGTTCAGGATATAAAAAATAATAATAATAATAACCCCTGCGAGTGAAGGTGTTATTCTGGGGATAAATCCTACTTTTGAGAAATTAAATTGCAGGATGATTCGAAGCGTGGCTGTTTTTTCTTTTCGGAGCGACGTYCATCTGCCGGTGCCGTTAGAGCTAACATTCTGTAATTTCGGGGGCGGTCTTTTTCGGCGGCTATGATTACATGTCATTACAGCRAATGGTTTGAAAATGTGCTCATTATTTTTGGACAGGTACCACACTCGCACACATCCAGCCGAAGCAGGTTGTCATGTAGACTACAGGAGCCAAGATGTGTTCAAAACGACAAGTTTGATGTAGAAAATGTAGATTCTATATAATATACAGTGACTATAAGAAGTATTCTCCCCCTTGGATGCTGATATGATCAACCATCTTTAATTTCTTGGCGCTGACACTATATCCGTATTTTCACAGCGTGGAGAGGAGAGGAAGTTCTGTAAATCTTTAAGGAGAGGCTTCAGACTCGCCTCAGGCAGGACCTTACTGGGAAAATCACTTTCACATAAAAATAAAAATGATGGGCCTTTCCGTGAAGAGGAGCAATAAAAACGCATCATGTGGAGAAAAGTTATCTTACTTGGGTCTGATTTGGAGAAGGTGTCCATGTCCAGCAGGTTTCTGTGAAGACACGAAAGACAAAAATAAATTAAAAAAAATTTAAGACACAATATCGACACATTTTTAGCAACTTTAACATTTTYCTCCAGAATCTTTCAAAGTTTAGACGAGTCCTGCAGTCTCACCTGTATGGAGCTAAATTAGCACCATAAAGTTTGTTCAAAAAACCATTTTTGAAACTGAAAAATAATTTTGAAAGTACAAAACAATAAATATTTGGATATTTTATCCAAATATATTTGGCCATATATTTGGATTTTATGATACAACAGCCTGCCACACATTGTTAGTTTTATGATTCAATGACCCATCATATTTTTTAAATTGACACAAATGCCTGCCATACCTTGCTGATTAGACGATACAATGGCCTGCCAAATTTTTTAATTATACGACAACTGCCTGGCACATGTGATAATTATATKATACAACAGACTGACATATTTTTAAATTATATGACAACGGCCTATCATACATTGTTAATTATATGATACAACAGCATGCCACATTTTTAAACCCTATGACATAATGACCTGCCATTTACAATATGATACAATGGCCTGCCAAATTTTTTATTATATGACAGCTGCACTGCCATACTTTGTTAATTATATGATAAAACAACCGAACACATTTTATTTTAAATTACAGAATTTTTTAATTACAAAGCACAACAGCCTGCAATACCTCATTTATTGGCAAATGTTAATTATGTTACTATGACATGTCACACTGATTAAATACAACAGCCTTCCATACCTCATTTATTATGATACAACGTGCCATACCTATTGAATTATATGATCCAAGTACTTTAACGTTTTCAGTGTTTCAAATTTTATTTCAGTTAAAAAAAATTTTCAGCTTAAAATTTTTTCATTTAGTTTCAAAACTTATTTTTTAAACAAACTTTATGGCTCCAATTTACCTCCATACACCTGAAACCCGACAAAAATGAAAAAATTCAYCCAGTTAACTAAAGTGGCTCAATGACGAGCTCAGACTTTTATAGTTCCTCATTTCATGCTTGAAAAACATTTGGGCGATAATACAACCCTGATGATCTTCTGTTACCCCAAAAGACAAATGAGGTGAGAATCAAATGGCCAGATTTATAAAGTGGAGCCAGAGCCGATGATTAAATCTGAATTTTTAGTAAGAGATGAATCATAGATGATGAAACTGCCTAATGGGATACACAGGGACCAGCAGAATCTTTAAATTTTCAATTAATTTAGAGATAAAGCAAGAATTTGACAATTTGCTTGCATGTTTTCCCCTGGAGTCCACTTCCACCTGTACGCAGTGATCCATCTTACGTGTGCACGTGTCAGGAAAGCTTTCAGTTCACTTCCTGTCTTACATTTGTCAAATCACAGGCTGAGAAATGACTGAAAACACAACCTCAGCTACGTGATAACGATTCAAACATTTGTCAGGGGTGGCAGCTGCTGGGACGACGGCGACCGGCCGACCGAGAGAGAAAATCAGATCTGTCAAAGAGGGATTTAGTAAAAGTTTTAAACAATTAATATCTTACCTGTTGTAGGTAGACCTTAATGGAGCTAACGGCTAATCTGAGAAGGGGCAAACGCTAAAGCAGATTGGGYGTAGACGTCTTAAAACAACTCTGATTTAAAGATAATTATAATTTTATGATTATTTCCAAGTTTCCTCCAAACTGAGGTTGTTTGTGCAACAGGTAAGATATTWTTTGTTTGGATTTTCTCATAGGATCCCTGTTTTCACAGCATCAAACAGCCAATTCAAACAATAAAACAGTGTAGCAAATGCACATTTTTTTTGCTCTTAAAAGGTCAAGTAAATAAAAGCACAACTAATGTTTTCTTTATTCAGAWCTAAAAAGATAAAAATAACTAAAGATAAATAAATCTTTCCATCCAGGACTGCCTGGCAGTTCGCTGCTGCGCGTCACAGACACAAACGAGTCTCTTATTTCTACTGTTTGACCCGTTTACGTCCATGAGTGGTTATTATTATTATTATTATTGTCTGTGTAAATCTGTTCGTATCTGCATCGAGTTGCCCACAGCTGCCAGAGCGGATTACTTGAGCGGGAAAAGTCCGTACGAGACATACAGTAGGTGCAACGGAGCGCCCAATTATACAAGAAGATGGGAGATGTCACGGTTTTACCGCTTGCACGTTGAAGAATCATAAAAATGATGACTGTTTGGATTATGAAAGTCATTTTGTTTTAAACTGAATTTTTGATCAAAATAAAGCAGCTGGTATGGTCTTCTGGACAAATATTCACCAAAAAAAAAAAGCCAAAATGGTGCTGAATATCCACAGAAATATGRCGTTTCACAGCCATCGAAATCCTCCCTCGCTTTAGTGGTGACCTCGTGATTTAAACATACAGAAGAAAAAAAACCTCTTTTAACTCTCCGTTTCCTCACTATTCATGTTGCTGCAGACTCAAAAAGGTTGCATTAATTTATTTTTGCATTGCCACAAACAACACATTGTTGCGCAATCCACCTGCGACCCTCACATCATGGGTTCTAGTCTGAATTATTGACGTTCAGGCTTTTCTCTGATTTCACAAAGACACTTTTTTTAAGTTCTGCAGCATCTCAGGAAGATTTGCAGTCCTCCTCCCCCCAATGTGAAGCCCAGCCAGTGATTAAATCTATGGGAGTACGTGGGCTCGGTTCCTGACCTTAGCGCCGCTGCTGAATGCATCTCGCTCTCGAGGCGCTGACAGCACTCGGGGAGGAATTGCAGACTTTCCTGTCTGTGATAATTATCGTGCCCTTGACGCAGGGAGAAGATCTTATTCAAGGATTTCCTCCCGATAAAACTGGAGTTCAGAAACTCCTGCTGAGTTCAGAAACGCTCTTTGACTTTTAAACACTAGCTGATGTGTCATTTTCTACATTCAGCAACTCGCACAAGCGCAGAACAACTATTTACTGCAGCCGTTCAAAAACTTCCAGAGTATTAAAAAACTTTGGTGCGTGTGAAAAACAAACGCACCAGAAATGTTACAGTTTTAGGGATTTTTTTATTACTACAACTCTCCATATGCCAAAAGAAAACATTACGAAACAAATAAGATTTATCTTCTTTTTGTCCCGTAAAAGTAAATTATCTTAGTTCATAGTCCTCTTTTAAACTAATAAAAAGATAAGACAGTTTCAGGAAGGAAATGCTATTAAGTACACCTCATATCTTTACTGCAATAAAAATGGAGAAATAATGAGAGCAGGAAGATTTTTTTCAAACAACGTCCATCATTTTGAGGGGCAAGGAGAAGGTCGAGCACCACCTCTGATCTGACCGTCCAAATGAATCACTGCCGTCTGATGTGACGTGTATAATTACTGGTCTGCCAGCATTGGATTATTGTCCCATTTAATACCGGCCTTAAAGAAGGTGTAAGATGTTTTACGCTTGCTTTTTATAGAAACATCTTTGCCGTGAGTCTTAGATGAGCTCGGAGGAGTTTTTGTCCTGCGATGTAAAAATTAAAAGACTTACAGTATAATCAGCCTGTTAGCTCTGCAAGAGAACGTCTAGTACTTCTAGCTTCTTCACTTCATTTAATTAGTGTTGAAGGAGGAAAACACATTTTTTAACTCCTTTATAAAACGTTTGAAAAAAGCAATTATTTGTCTGTAAGTTTGAAGAAATTTCCCACTGCTGAGTTGGGTTAAGATTGAAAATACATCGTTTTTTTCCGCTTTAAGCAGGACTCTGATATTGCACAGTGTACGACCGRCTACTGCTCAGAGCACATCACACATGGTGGCACTTCAAATGAGCTCCTGGGCTACCCCCCACCCCGCCGCGTGTGCGTTAGCACGTTTTCAGGACTTCCACTTCAGAGGATAATGTGAATGAGTCACGGCCCTGTCTCTTTTCCTCTCTTTTCATCTAGGGGCAGGAAGCATTAAGTCCAAAAGCTGACGTCCAAGTCACTTAGAGGTCTGCGAGAAGAAACACGACGGGACTTAAAATAGTTTTGTATTTTTGCCATAAACACAAATACTGCTGATTATGACGTCTTTGGAAACAGCTTTCTTGCTTCTGCCACTTAGAATTGTCTCAGTTGGTGAACGTGTTTCCTACAATGCTTTAACACCTAAAAATGCACAGAAAATTAACAAATCCTCCTGGTTTTCTCATTTGAATCTAAAACAGTGAAGTTGGGTGTGAAATTTCTCCGTCCAAGTTAAACAGAAAACTGTATTTTACTCTCAAGGCCGCCACAGAATCTCAGCTGCACGGTTCTAAAGCGGAGCTGCAGCGCTGCATACACACGTGGAAATTTTCCAACACAAATATGTGACAGCGCTGATCTCAGGCTGCAGTCAAACTTTGCTTCCCTCCACCTTTGTAGGCAAAGTTTGGCAATCCGGTCCCCCCGCTGTCCTGGCAGTGCCTCGGATGCCTCACCTGTGACAGCTGTCAGTCACGGCAACAAGAACTGAAATGTGATACGAGTCGGGTTGGGAAAAACAGTTTCCTGTTTATGCTCAACTTGACCTTTTTAAAGCAAATTAAAAGCTGGTGCAAAAAAAAGGAGTGAAAACACAAAAACTGTTAAAAGAATTCAGCTGACATGATATTCAGTCTTGCCTAAAACAGGTAAAGATTCATTGTTTTTTTTAGTATAATTTTTTTCCACATATAGTTATAAAATCTGTAATAATAAACTCATGCCAAGTTATATTTTTATTTTTGTTACGTTTTCATGAGGACGGGTAAGAAAAGGTGAAAGGGCAACGTTTGCTCGAGTTAATTGAACTGATAAGCCAGCGTGAGCCCAGTTTAGCTAAAATGCTAAGGCAACGTTAGCATAAGTTAAATAAAATTAAATAAATAATAAAATAAAATAAAATGTTGGCTCAACTTAGCTCAAGTGCAAACATTGGCATGAGTTAGCTCAAGTGCTAAGATAACACTGGCATGGGTTAGCTCAAGTGCTAAGATAACAATTGGTATAAGTTAGCTCAAGTGCTAAGATAACA